GAATCTTCTTCATTAAGTCTAGTTTACTAATACCAAAATTCAGATAAAAATTCAACCGGGAAGACAGTCAAATGATTTTCTGAATTCTACTGCGCTGTTTAACTGCTCAGTTATCTTTAAAATTTCATTTGACTGCCTTCCCAATTGAAATTTTAGCTGAAATTTAGTATGAGTAAACTAGACTTAATGAAGACGATTCTCAAAAAGTTTTATTAAAAAATTCCACCAGAAACCGCCCCAAATAACGACGGCCGAACAGAGTCTCCTATATAAGGGGTGATTTGCACATTTTAAGTTAGTTCTGTAGAAGAATCCAGAAAATATTAATTTATAATATTTTCAATTATGACAGTTTCAGTTTTAACCATTACATATCCTTGTAAGTAGTATTATAATTATTACATAGGCTCCCAATGATTGTATAAATACCAGTGTATGCCTGAGAATAAAGTATGCAATTTAGTCTGCAATTCTATCTTCTTCTAAACTCTATTATGGTATCAAAGCCGTAAGAGCTCTCACCAGCCCTCCTACCCATGGCTAACCAAGAAAATACAGCCAGACAGACAGAGAATCTCTAGGAACAAGGAGACCTCAAAAATCCGCTTGCTAAAACCTTGGCTAGCCCTTCCAACAACCCCTTGACCCCTGATGGACTCATAATGCTTAACCCCAGTCAATTTCCAGAAAAATTAGACGGTTCTAATTACCTGGTTTGGCGTGACCAGGTTCTTGACCTTCTGTTTGGGTCAGACCTGAGCCAGTACATCGAGGAGGATGCTACGCTGCCACCAGAAAGCGACGCAACCGGCCGTCTCAGATGGAACCGACAGGACAGACTCCTCCGCTATGCCCTCGTCTCCTCCCTTAGCTCCGCTTGCAAACCATTAATTGGTTCTGCACGCACTTCTGCCGATGTCTGGAAGACACTTGAGCGGCTCTATGGGACTCGATCACCATCCGCAATTAGAAACCTCAAAGACCAGTTCCGTCACATGAAGCAGGGAGATCAACCAGTGGGGGAGTACCTTCACAAACTCTGGACCCTAGCTGATGAACTGGCGCTGGCAGGACGACCCGTTGACGATGATGATTTCCTCATTCAAGCTCTGGAAGGACTTCGGCCAGAGTTTGAAGCAATCGCGAACTCCATCCAGACCTCAGGTGACACTCGATTTGGAACCATCCATACGTTGTTCGTAGGATATGAAGACAAGCTTCGACGGAAGGAGGTGCTGAACTACAATCCCGTGCTGACCGCTAATTCAGCTATCGCGGAGACGGGAGAGTCTCTTTCCTTGGCCGTTCGAAGGAGTGCAAATGGCCCAAGAGGTAATCAGGCACAAAACCCTTCTATATTGGGCCCAGGACCAGCACCACAACTTTGGAGACAATTTAACGGGCCCAATAATAATCTGTTAAATAACACCAGGAGGTAATAATATGGGAGGCAGAAACAATTTCAGGAGCAATAATTATTCTAGAGGTACAATTATATGCCAAATACGTGGCAAACCAAACCATCTCGCTCTTAACTAATGGCACCGATTTGAACAACAAAATTACCCTCCTCAAGTCAATACTGTGGTGACCGATAGAAATGGGTGGTTGCTTGACTCTGGAGCCTCGAATCATGTCACCAATAATCTCAATAACCTGACCTTGGCTTCAGATTATACTGGCACAGACTTCCTCGTTATTGGTAACGGTAAAGGTCTTGCGATTGCACAAGTTGGAAATATGAATATTCATTCTCTTTCCTTACCTAATACTCTTTTTGTTCCTTCAATTCATACTAATTTAATTTATGTTGCCAAATTATGTCGTGATAATGATGTGCTAATTGAATTTCACCCCTCTTTCTGTTTTGTAAAGGACCGGCGAACGGGAGCAATTTTGTTAAGGGGTATGAATAATGGGGATGTCTACAGTCTGCCGGATGTACCGATTCCTTCGTCTCCATGTGCTAATGTTACTACAAAATATTATCTTAATAAATGGCATTGCCGTTTAGGTCACCCTGCTCTCCCTATAACTCAAAAAGTTATTTCTTCATTTGGTGTTTCATTTAAAAATGTTACTAAGGATATCTCTTTATGCACTTCATGTGCAAGTAATAAAAGTCACAAGTTACCTTTTGCTAAATCTTCACTTTCAAGTTCTGGCCCTCTTGATCTAATTTTTACAGATGTTTGGGGTCCTTCTCACATTACTTCTGTAGACGGTTTTCGTTACTATGTTATTTTTGTTGATCACTATACCAAATACATTTGGTTTTATCTCATCAACCATAAGCCTGAAGTGACCTCAATTTTTCAACAATTTAAAAAAATTGTAGAAAACTTTTTTCAAAAAAATATTAAAATGATTTACTCTGGTGGGGGAGGTGAGTATGTCGCCCTAGGGAAATTCTTGAGTTCCTGCGGTATTTCCCATTTATTAACCCCTCCCTATACTCCGGAACATAATGGTTTTGTTGAACGACGACATCGTCATATTGTTGAAACAGGGATCACTTTACTTCATCATGTCTCCATGCCATTTAAATATTGGTCTTATGCTTTTCAAACTGCAGTGTATCTCATTAATAGACAACCTGCAACGTCTCTCAATTTCTGCACTCCATTTGAAAAGCTTTTTCAAAAAAAACTAATTACACAAAACTTGCTATTTTTGGGTGTCAATGCTTCCCGTGGTTGCGTCCTTACACAACCCACAAATTAGAACCTCGATCCAAACCATGTATTTTTCTAGGGTATTGTGATCAACAGAGTGCATATCAATGTCTTGACCCAGCTACCCAGCGTATTTTTATTAGCAGGCATGTCATATTCAATGAGTTTGTTTTTCCCTTCTCTCGGGACGTAACACCTGTTACTAATCTCTCCTCGGAGATTGATAAACTGTCTTCAATCGCCTATTTCTTATCTCCCCCTTTCAGGTACACCAGCGGCAAAGGCATCTCCTATTTCTCATACTCCCACTCAGCCACGCACTCCCGGTAGTTCAATCTCTACCTCTAATACGACGCCCCCTACACCCCCACCTCCACACAATCCACCTGCTATCATCACCTATCAACGTCGGTCTAAGCAAAAACCATCTACCCCAACATTTCCTCAAACTTCACTCAATGAACCACCCACTATCACCCCGACCAATTCCCCTCCCAAACGTACTCATCCCATGACTCTTCGCCCTCGTAAACAAGCTAATCTTGTCACTCAATCCGTCTTACCTCATCATATTATTCCTACTTGTGCTTCTCAGGCTTTACAGGTACCCGAATGGAAGGATGCTATGTCAGCAGAATTTGAAGCCTTGGTTAAACAAGGAACTTGGGATCTTGTTCCAGCTTGTCCTGGACAAAATGTGGTTGGTTGCAAATGGGCTTATACTGTGAAATACAAGCCGGATGGTTCCTTGGATCGTTTCAAAACTCGGTTGGTTGCTAAGGGTTTTCATCAGTGCCCAGGAGTTGATTATTCCGAAACTTTTAGCCCAGTAATCAAACCGGTCACCATTCAAGTTGTCCTGACTATTGCTCTTTCTCATGGTTGGCAGATCCATCAGTTTGATGTTAATAATGCCTTTTTGCATGGAACTCTTCACGAGGAAGTATACATGAAACAACCTCCTGGTTTCAATGATGGTTCCGGGTCTGTTTGCCGTCTTCGTAAATCTATCTATGGTCTCAAACAAGCACCCCGGGTGTGGTATCAATCTTTAAGTGGGTTTCTTCTTTCCCTTGGATTTCATCAATCTGTGTCGGATGCGAGTCTCTTCATACTCTCTTCACATCGATCTTATATCTATGTGTTGGTGTATGTGGATGATATTATTGTTACTGGTTCCACTCCTACTTTGGTTCGTCGGACTATTGATTCTTTAGCGCAAAAATTCTCTATTAAGAATTTGGGATCCTTACATTATTTTCTAGGCATGCAGTTCACTCCGACGCAGGATGGGCTCTTTCTTGACCAACACAAATACATTACCGATTTATTACATATGTTAAAAATGGATGAGGCAAAACCGGTATCCACACCCTTGGCTTCCTCGGCATCATTAACATTGTTTGATAGTTCGGGGTCTTGCAATGTGACTCTCTATCGTGAGGTCATTGGATCACTTCAATATTTGAGTCTCACAAGACCAGATGTTGCCTTCGCTGTCAACAAACTTGCTCAATTTATGCACAAACCGACAGTTACTCATTGGCAGCATATCAAACGCCTATTACGGGTACCTTCAAGGCACTAGTTCTTATGGTCTCTTTCTCCGCCGCAGTTCATCTCTTTCTCTATGTGCTTATGCTGATGCAGATTGGGCAGGGAATCCCGATGATCGCTCCTCAACTAGCGCATATGCCATTTTTCTTGGTGAATCACTTGCTTCCTGGAAGTCCATTAAACAACGAACCATTGCTAAATCATCTACAGAAGCAGAGTATCGGGCTCTCTCTACTGCTGCATCAGAAATTCTTTGGATTGGGTCTCTTCTTCATGAACTCCGACATCCCTCTCCCGCTTCCCCGCTCCTACTTTGTGATAACGAAAGCGCTACAACTTCTTCAGCAAATCCGGTTTTCCATTCCAGGATGAAACACGTTGCCATTAATTTTCATTTTGTTCGACAATGTGTGCAACGTGGGCTTCTTCGTGGGCTTCACATCTCTTCTCATGATCAGTTAGCTGATGCTCTTACCAAACCACTCTCACGGCAACGGTTTACTCTACTAAGAGACAAGCTCAGGATTCTTGGGAGTGACAGAATACCTAGCATGCGGGGACGTGTAGAAGAATCCAGAAAATATTAATTTATAATATTTTCAATTATTACAGTTTCAGTTTTAACCGTTACATATCCTTGTAATTAGTATTATAATTATTACATAGGCTCCCAATGATTGTATAAATACCAGTGTATGCCTGAGAATAAAGTATGCAATTTAGTCTGCAATTCTCTCTTCTTCTAAACTCTATAAAATAACCAAACAAGGCGGTCAGAAAAAAAAAATTGATATAATGATTCTTTACAGAGCTATATCAAATACTACGTATATAAACAACCACAAATGCTCATTGTCTATTACTCCCTCCGGTTCGTATTAAAGTTCTCACTTTCCTTTTAGGGATGTCCCTTATTTAAGTTCACACTTCCATTGTAGGAAACAAAACAGTGCAAAACAGTGCCAAACAGTGTCAAACAGTGTTCAAACAGTACCAAACAGTGCACTCCACAGTAAAGTCAAATTTATTTTCTTAATCTGTGTGAAGTCAAACTGGGAACTTTAATACATTTTAAAAACTACTGCTGGTGTAGATGGTGACCAAAATTACACTTCAGAAACTGCTGACCATGACTTGGAACGTCCTCGGGCAAAGACAAGAAGTTCCCAACAATAGCAATCCACACACGTTAATTAGAGCCCTGCCAAACATTGATTACAACAAAAGCTCATTTTATTCTTTATTCAACTAATATTTTTGCTTCTCTGTACCAGGTAAAGAGGCGGACGAACTAACAAATTTACAACTTCCAAGTATGCAAGCACCGAAAAAAGATGCATTAGTAAATGAGCTTACCTGCATAAAAGGAAATGAACAAAGATGACAATAGTCAGGAGCATACCCTCAGGTATCGGCAGGGTGGAAAGAATAATGGGAGATGTGCCAAAACATTTAAATGGAAAGTTAACCATTTCTCCCCCAAATGTCTGATTGAGAGGAGTTTTCGAGGGGGGCGGGGAGGTTCATTTCATATTAATAGAATTATTATATAGGGCTTTTGGGCTTTGGCACTTATTAAACGACTAAAGATATTGAGTTTACACTACCAAGTTCAACACTCAAACGTTTTTAATTAAAAATAAGTAAAATAACCACTCCCCTCCCAACCCCCTCCTAAATATACCCCAAGGGTTCTTAGATAGCTCAGAGCTACTCTGGTTCATCATATAATCCCCAAAAACTCATATGGCCTTTTGGAATTCAACCTAACACTTTTCTATAATGGCTTTGTATAGGGTACTAAATGGAAGTAGATGTGCCTATGTTTGAAATTACGCATAAGCAAAATATTGTTAAACTTAGACACAAACTGCGATTTCATGTAATGACTGACGCCATTTCGTTTGAGTGAACGATGCATGGGTAAACCAAGCCAATCCTCAAATACTTGATACATTGAAGCAAGCCACTACGCAAGTTCCACAACATTAAAATTATACTGGCATGCTAAAACAGAGGGAAATAGAAAATGACAACCAATTTAGACCCTAATTGCTACCATTCATAAGATCGCTCTTCTTTTAATAGAAGAATATGCAGGCTAATCAGTAAATAGAAAGTAGCTTTTGTCTTACGTATTTGGCTCAAATTGGTTTACCAAATTTTTTTCCATTATGAGAATCCAACAGATTCAGCCCAAATAACTCGTATCAAATGGGTCCTTCAAAGAAAAGTAAGCAAGCATAAGCAGTAACTACCTCTGACAACAAATTACACCTTGGTAGCCGGTCCTCTTGAAATAGAAATCTAAGTACTATGAGTGCATGAGATTATTATGGTTGAGGCAAGTAGTAGGTTCCTTGAATGCTTGGCACTTCCAAGTCGGCGTTCTCTCAACAGGAAATAAGGATTTATTGTTAATCGCAGTAGAAGTGGCCATGATCACATTCTCTCTAATTGGACGTGGTGTTTTAAATTTCACTTTTTCTTGGGGGCTTGCTTGATCCCTAAAATTACAGATGCTAAGGGGTAACTTTTTCTGTTTAAACCTTCCTTTCTTTTTCCCAACACTACAAACATTGTGCACATATTCTTCATCTACTTTCTTTAAGCCATTTGCCACTTCTTTCCCACTTTCCACCACAATGAAGTTGGACTTATTAACTTGTAACTCTTCTCCGTTATCCATCTTTGATCTATCAGATTGAATTATTCTTTCAATAGAAGTAGAAGAAACCTTAGATGTTTCACACAGAGGCAAAGTTTTGAGCCTCTTGTGTTGCTTGTGAGTTCTGGAGGAACTGTTTATGGCCCTATGCAACTTCTTAGCCAGTTCTTCATCCGTCATACAACTTCCAGCCCCTTTATTCTTATTGTACAATGTATGAACTGCAACATGCTTCTTCATCTTGTTCTTCTTTGACTGACTATTTCTAGTAGCGGCTTCTTCATCACTATTAGTGACTAATTCTAAAGCAGCCTTAGCGGCCGTTATTGCTTTTGCTGCCTTTGCAGCTTTTTCTTCAGCAAAAGCTCTGGCATTTCTTGCAGCCTTAGCTGCTTCAACAGCTTCAACTCTTGAGGCCTCAATGATCTCTTCATTTGAAAGACTGTGGTTACTCAAATGAGATCTCAATAATTTATTTAGACGGGTGACAAACTCAATACCAGCAACATTATTGCCCATGTCATATGATGAGGATGGGGATTGTGGATTGATATCACAGTTCTGTTTCTTCAATCCGGCTAGAAGCCTCTTCCTTGGCGGCAAAAGCACGTCATTATCCAAATTATTAACATCCAAATTATTAACATCGCATCCATTAGCTTCCATTATCTCTGCATTACACTATTGACAATCTAAAACAAAAGTCCTGCCTGCAAAAGAAAAACTTTAAGAAAGCAACACGAACAGTTTTACTTGGGAGTTTTGAATATGATCAAAGGGTAGCCCAAATCCGAAATCTGATTCATAAATCCTTACGATCAACAGTGACAATAAAGCAATAGAGCAACGTGAAGACAACATGCGTTTTGGTATATGGTCTGATTCATCGATAGAGATGGTTTTGGACCTTGCAAGGATCAAAGTAACCGATGAAACAAAGCAATTCAACGCAGTCAGGAAAATTAAGGGCTTGATTTAAGAGATTTATTTGAAATCCAATTGAGCTAACAGCATGTGAGCATAAAAATCCTTGGTGCGGATGAACCATTCGAAATACTTAAGCGATAGTTTTAAGTAATTAACGAGAATCAAATAAGGTGATCAAAATACCTCCTGATCTATATCTATCATACTTGGAATGGAGGATGCTACAAGTTGAAACTAGGGTTTTCCGATGGGAAATAGGAAATGGAAGGAGAATGGTACGTAAAAACCAGTTAGAAAGATAGATGAGGATGAGAGAGAAATGTTTTGATGGAATTATGTCCGTAGGAGTTTCCATTAGTGTGCAAACTAAAAATTACTCCCTCCGTCTCCCCGTTATTGTCTCATTACGGTTTACGATGCTTGACCGACGATAAAGCAAATAGATCTCTGTCCGCACTCAAATTATTTTTAGGAAAAAAAAATTACATATTCAGAAACTACATTAAAAGATTTACAAAGTCGCAAAAATCAGAATCAAATTTGATAAAAAAATTGATAAATAAAGTAAGAGATTAAGAGTGATTTGTGTTGACCAAGTGAATAGGAAATGGGACAATAACAGGGGGATGGAGGGAGTAGTAGCCGCTGTTATTTTTACCTCGAAAAAAGGGGCAAATAAGTCACGTACCAACCAAAAAAGGTCAAATAAGCTCTTATATAGGAGATTATGTTTGGTCTTCGTCATTTAGGGCGGTTCCCGGTGGAATTTTTTATGAAATTTTTTGAGAATCTTATTCATTAAGTCTAGTTAAAAGCGCAGTTATCTTAAACAATTCATTTGAATGCCTGCCCGATTGAAGTTTTAGCTGACATTTGGTTAGTAAACTAGACTTAATGAATAATATGCTCAAAAATTTGCATAAAAAATTTCCACCGGGAACCACCCCAAATGACGACGGTCGGACATAGCCTCCTATATAAGGGCTTATTTGACATTTTTTGTTAGTACGTGAGGTTATTTGCCCTTTTTTCCTTTTTACCTCTGAATTTACTTACACTCTTGCCATAGGCTCAAGTACCAAAATGTCAATATGATGAGTTCCAAAACACTACTCCCTCCGCCCTAAATAAACTTCCAAATTTCGTTTTCCGTCCGTCCCAAAAAAACTTCCACTTTCTAAATTACTTTTACATTTACCGCCTTAATTACCCACCCAACCCATCCATCTGTATTCGCCTTTTTTGTCGCACTTTCTATTTCCGTACGTTCATAATTCCTACGCATCTAGAAAAATCTTCTTTGCCCTATCATCTCTCATCTCTCAATTCTTCTGCAGTCATGCCACCCACACACCCATCTCATTCTTGAAATCCATTAATGGCAGAAAAGGCCTCCAATTTGCTTATGTATCCCGACTTGTACAGTGCGGTCGTTGAGGACTTAGAGGATTCATCCGATTCGCTCGATCTCGGCGCTGATTGTGAGATCTTGGGCGACTTCGATGATTTTGAGAAGTTGCCCGATTTCATCCCTGATTCTGAGATCTTGGCTGATTTCATCCCTGATTCTGAGAAGTTGCCTGGTTTCATCTCTGATTCTGAGATGTTCGATTCTGAGAGTGGAGAAGGATTCAAAGGAGGACAAGGGGTGAGATCTGACCTCGTGATTCTACAATCACCGGATGAGTCGAGGTCAGTGACTAATCCAATGATGCTTTCAGACCCAAGTCTTCAAGCCTCCAACGATAAGATGATTGATATCTACCTTCGGCCAATGAATACAACGAGTATGAATGATGTTCTATCTACTCCCTTCCTCTTCATCTGAACCCTAATGTTCAAGAATTCATTGACAAAATGGTTTGGAAATGGTTGCCTCTTTACAAAAAATGAAGGTCGTACTTGGCCTTTTTTGTTCTTTTGTGGATGTATGGACCTTTAAAGGCCAAAACATGGTGCATGCACTTGGTGAGTGGAACACTTGGTGAAGTAGTCGACTGCGACGATTACCACCTAACGGGCAAAGCCCTCACCCCCAAACGGGTTATTGATCGATTACCACCCTTGGCTCGACCCACTTGGTGAAGTAGTCGACTGCGACGATGATGTAGCGGTTGTTGCCAGCGGCTCTAGGCAGGGGGCCGACCAGGTCAATCCCCCATCTTGAGAATGGGATTGTAGTACTGACCGGGGCGTAATTGACGGCTGGCCGACCAGGGGCCTTATGAAGTACCTGGCATGCGGTACACTTCCTTGCAAGGTTAGCACAATCCTGCGCCATCGTCGGCCAGAAAAAGCCTTGGAGGACGAGAGGCCGGACATGCTTAAAAGGGCCCTGATGTGAGGAGCAGACACCACAGTGGACTTCCTCCATGGCTACTTCGGCCTCGTCCTGGTGCAGGCATCGGAGGAGAGTGCCATTGTAGGATCTCTTGTAGAGTTTCCCATTCCCAATGGTGTAACTTGGGGCCCTGAGTTTGGCTAGTTTGGTCCTCCCCTCGTCCCGGGGTTATTCTCCCAAAGTGATGAAGGTCATGACGTCGGATATCCAGTCCTCCGGGCGTTGTTGTATGCACATGATCGGGCTGGCATGGATACATGACATGCTTAACTCCTCGACTTTGGCTATCTTGGAGATGGGATCCGGAGTGTCCGTGCTGAGTTTAGAGAGAATATCGGCCTCAGCATTCTCCACTCTTGGGGTCTGTGTGATCTCATGGGTTTCAAATGCCTTGAACAATTCCTGAGCCATCTATTTGTATTGCCTCATCCTTCCTTCTTTGGCCTCGTACGAGCCCTCGATCTGGCCCACCACCATCTTGGAGTCGCACTTGATTCTGACATGTCGCGCTTTGAGGCCGGCGGCGAGTCTGAGGCCGCTAAGGAAAGCCGCGTACTCGGCTTCATTGTTGGACACCCTGAAGTTGAAGCGGATGGCATAGTAAGCTCTGAATCCTTCAGGGGAGATGACGACGATGACGCCTCCACATGCCTTGGCGGCCGATGAACCATCAGTGAATATGGTCCATGATTCATCTGGCTCTGCCCTGGGTATGGCGGCGGCCGTCTCCCTTGCCGTACACTCGGTGACGAAGTCGGCCAAGGCTTGCCCCTTGATAGATGGCCTTGGCTTGATTTCGATTTGGAACTGGCTAAGGAAGATTGCCCACTTCACCATCCTTGAGGAACTAGTTGGGCTCCGCATAAGTGCGCCGAGGGGCTGCTGAGTCAAGACATGGACGACATGGGCCTGGAAGTAGTGCCCTAGCTTCTTCACCATGTGGACGATGGCCAACACCATCTTCTTGATGGGGGAGTACCTGAGCTCGGCCTCCCGGAGCGTCTTGCTGACATAGAAAACTGCCTTTTCCACCCCTTCATCCTCGCGGATGAGCACGGAGCTGATGGCCGACGTGTTCACCCCCAAGTATAAGAAAAGTGTCTTGCCGGGCTTGGGCTTGGAGAGCACAGGAGGGAACGAAAGGTACTGCTTCATCTCTTCGAATGCTTGCTGGCACTCCGTCGTCCATTTGAAGCTGTTCTCCTTGCGCATGGTTGGAAGAAAGTGAGAGACCTTTCAGCCGATTTGGAGAGGAAATGGTTAAGGGCCGCAAGTCATCCAGTCAACCGTTGTACTTCCTTGACATTGCGCGGTGGTTCCATGTTCATTATGGCCTGGACGTTCTCCAGATTTATCTCAATGCCCCTTTGGCTGACCATGTAGCCAAGGAATTTGCCTTCTCGGACACCAAAGGTGCATTTCTTGGGGTTGAGGCAGAGCTGGAACTTCTTCATTATCTCAAAAATTTCCCGGAGGTCTTCGGCATGGGTGGTAGCATGTTTGCTCTTGACGATCATGTCGTCGATGTATGGCTCCATCGTCCGGCTGACGACTGCTCTGAAGATTTTGGCTACCATCATGATGTATGTGGCGCCTGAATTTTTAAGCCCAAAGACCATGACGAGGTAGCAAAAAATTCCCTCCGGGATCATGAAAGCCGTCTTCTCGGCATCATCTTCATGCATGAAGATATGGTGGTACCCTCTGAAGGCATCCAAGAATGACATTAACTCGCAGCCCGCCATCTCGTCCACCAACTGATCAATGTAGGGGAGAGGGAACGGGTCTATGGGGCACGCCTTGCTCATATCAGTGTAGTCAACGCACATTCTGAATGTCGACGACTTCTGGGCGAGAACAACGTTGGCTAGCCATGTTGGGTACTTCACCTCCTTGATGTGGCTGAGGGAGAGGAGAATGGTGACCTCCCCCTTGACGAAGTCCTGTCTTTCGGCCGAGAGGTAGTGCCGCTTCTACTTGACTGGCGTGGAAACTGGATCGAATGACAGCCGATGAGTGATCACCTTCCGGCTGATGCCTGGCATGTCGTCCGGCCCCCACGCAATAATGATTGTGTATGGCTGTAGGACCAAGAGGATGTCGTCGCATTGGTCCTGTGGGAGTTGTTTCCCAATTTTTAGGACTCGCTCCGACCGAGAGGCATCCAAGGGGACCTTTTCGACATCTTTGATTGGCTCAGCATGTGGCCTCTCTTCATCCTTTGCGACAGTCGCGGTGATGGAATCTATCCTCTGCTCGGCGCTTTCTCGGCTTTGTCAGCTTGAGGTAACATGCCCTTGTTATCCTCTGGTTCCCCTTGCATAGCCAATGCCACTCGACGTGGGGACCTTCAAGCATAAGTGTTTCATGGAGATGATGGCCTTCAGGTCCTCTAGTGCTGGCCGCCCCCAGATCAGGTTGTGGGCACACTCGAGGTTGACCACCATGAACTCCATGTCAATTTTGGTGCGATGGGAGCCGTCGATGATTTCCACGGGAAGGACTATCGTGCCCTCGGCATCGATAGAGTCCCCGGTGAAGCCGGACAGTGGTGTCTGGATCGGCTTGAGCAATGCCCTGTCCAACTTCAGTTGCTTGAAAGTGTCAAGGTACATGACATTGATGGAGCTCCCCGTATCGATATTAGTGTGGTGGATGATAGAGTCGCATATCTCACATCGGATGACGAGGGCGTCCCTGTGTGATACGGGGCCTGGAGGCAGATCCTTGTCGGTGAAGGCGATCGCCTCTGTCCGCTGCTTCCTTGGCTGGGGGGAACGTGGGACACCTCCCCAGTGTAAAGGGATTGGGCCCATTTCTTTCTCTGGGTGTCTGAGTCCCCCCCCCCCCCCCACCCACAGTGTTGCCTCCCACAATGAGGTGGATGTGGTTCTCCTTCGGAGGGGGCTCCTCAAAGTCTTCGTCGTCATCACTAAGTCTACCGATCTCACGCTTCTTCGTAGAGGGTTCGCCCCCATTTTTTCCGGT